GGAGTGCAAGGCCAGGTAGAGGTGCCTGGAGGCTCAGTGGGCTGAGGTGGTCAGCCAGTTCCAGGCCATGATGCAGTCCCACTGGAACAAGGCCCTCCGGCTCTTCTCCACCAGCGGCACTTCCCTCCAGCCTTCACCCAAAGCCCCCCACCAGGAGGCTGAAGCAGACCCCAAGCCAGAGGGGGACACTCTCTGCAGCAACACAAACGTTCATTGCATGTATCCGGCCCCTGATTTAGTGCAATATAAAAAATGCCAATAATTTTTCTGCGGACCACCAAATTTTTCTCACGCAAAACATAGTCACCGAATCGGTAGTAACACCGGTTGAATCCCACCCCCTGAGTGTAGTTGAAGATAGAATGATATTATGGAGAAGAGAGATGTTAGGAAGACTTGAGTGACTAATCTATATCTATAAAAGCGAAATACCACTCACGCATCATCACAAAACCTCCAGAACTGTAAAGCCTACAAACTTGAAATTTGGCACGTGTGTTCCTCTTGGCTTCTAGGTGCTCACTGAAAGGATTTTTTGAAATGACCATCAGAGCATTAGTATTTCGGATATTATTATTAACATGCTCTGATGCTAAGGAGTTCTACTCCTCCTCCCCACCTGAAAAGAAACCTGTCCCAAATGCAAAACACAAGCAGAGGAGAGGAGTTTCAGTTTCACAGCACCAAGCAGCTTTAGTACAGAACAGTTGAGCTAAGCCACGCCCAGGCTCCTTGCTGTCTCCTTCTTGCTCACACAGCAAATACTATTTCAATTTCCAAACAGCCCTCAACTCTCTCACACATGGACAGGACACTAGCCAGATGTATACCAATGGATGCTGGTAGGCAGCGGCAGAATTTCCCCCCCTTATTTTCCTCCCCAAAAACTAAGCCCGATCACATAGTTTCGTAGCGAAGTACAGTTATCGAACTAGTGTTACAATATGACAGGTATGTCAAACTCTATTTCATTGAGGAACGCATCAGGGTTGTGTTTGACCTTGCGGGGCCATGGTGCGCGTGCTCAGGGTGGGTGTAGCCAAATCAACATCACTTGTGTCGCGAGTGCCTGTGGTGGCCCGAGCACTCTGCCAGCAAAAACAGCTCCTGAGTTCCATTATTGGCTGCCACAGCCTCCTGCAACCCTCTGCCAGTGAAAACCGGTTCTTCTCTGTTTCCATGGCAACCCCGCAGGCCAGATCTAAGCATCCCACGGGCTGGATACGGCCCCCAAGCCTTGAGTTTGACATCCCTGCTATATGACCTTCTTGAATAGCTCTCTGGCTTCTGTCTGGCTTTTAGTTCCCTGCCAAGTGGTGGTAGACTGGCATCTCCTTCACTTCGGTCTAGCAGCTGTATTTTAATATTCCACAATGGTTGGAGAAGGAAAGATAAGATTCACGCATGCTTCTGAACAATTCCTTCCAACAACTGAGCTCTGGGAATACAATAGTACAGGTCATCCTCGCCTTACAACCACAATTGAGCATAGTTTTCAGTACTAAGCAAGGCAAGTGAAATGTGATGACCCCCCTTGCCACAATAATTAAGGGAATCACTGCAGTGGTTACATTAAAAACATGGTTGTTAAGTGAACCTGGCTTCCCCTTTGACTGCTTGTCAGAAGGTCTCCAAAGGGGATCATGTGACCTTGGGACACAGCAACGGTCATAAATGTGAACCAGATTCCAAGCATCTGAATTTCGATCACACGAGCATGGGGATGCTGCAAAGGTCGTAACTGTGAAAAATGGTCCAAAGTCACTTTTTTCTTGTAACTCTGAATGCTCACTAGTGCACTTTGAACTGCCTGTAGTTCAACAATATTGGCTATCAAGGCTTTGAAGGAAATTAAAATGGAAATCCACGGAGTTAGCTGTCCGCTACTCTCATTAGTTAAGGTAAAGGAAATCTTCGAATACAGGCAGCATTTTCACGGTAAAAGCCGACTTCTCCATTGGAAACAAGAAAAAGATCACATAGCATACGGATGTAAAAGAAGACGTATGTATAGAAAACACATATGTAAGAAAGATAAAACACCCATGAGCTCTAGATAAAGAGACATGTGTTTAAATAAAGGGGCATCTGCTTTCACTCTTTAAGGAAACAGGATTTAACGAAATATGGAAAGAAGGAAGGTTACACAAGAGGAAAAGGTTCATGGTGATTACCGAACCTATGGTCCTCAGCAATGGTCATCCCTATCTTCAAAAAAGGTGACCCCAGCCTGGTTGAAAACTACAGAACAATTGTCATGGAATCAATCATTAACCAATCCATTACCCTCCACCTGAAGTCAAATAACCTACTCTCCAAAAAACAATTTGGTTTCAGAAAAAAATTGTCCTGCATCTACAACTCCTACACTGCAAAAACATATGGACTACTCTACTCAACCAGGGTAAAGCAATAGGCACAATTTACATAGACTTCTGCAAAGCCTTTGATTCAGTGGTACATGACAAACTACTGTTATAACTAAACTCTTACGGCATTTCTGGATCCCTTCATAAGTGGATTACTGCATTCCTTTCAAACAGGCAACAAATAGTAAAAATAGGGAACTCTATATCAAACCCTGCTCCAGTTAACAGCGGTGTCCCCCAAGGCAGCGTTCTAGGACCCACACTCTTTATACTCTACATATTGACCCTTGCGATCACCTTATAAGCAACTGCGTCCTCTTTGCGGATGACGTAAAACTATTCAACACCACTGACAATGCTACTGTCCTTCAGAGCGATCTTGATTATTTTTCTGATTGGTCAAACAATTGGCAACTCCAAATCTCGACCAACAAATGCTCTGTCCTACACATTGGTAAAAAAAAAATCAGTACACCAAATACAAGCTAGGTGGATAGGACCTCGTTGATGACTCTCACTCTGTCAAGGACCTTGGAGTACTTATATCAAACGACCTAAGCGCCAGAGCTCACTGTAACTGCATTGCCAAAAAGGCATCAAGAGTTGTAAATTTAATCTTGCGAAGCTTCTCCTCCGGTAATATTGAATTGCTAACTAACTAATATTTGCTAGACCAATACTCGAATGCAGCTCATCTGTCTGGAATCCGCATTGTATATCGGACATAAATACAATTGAGCAAGTCCAGAAATATTTCCCGAGTACTACACTCCTCTGCTGGCAACAGAATACCCTATATCAGCAGGCTTGAAATTTTGGGCTTGAACAACCTTGAACTACACCACCTATAGTTGGATTTAAGCATAGTACACAAAATGATCTGCTACAATGTCCTATCAGTCAATGACTACTTCACCTTCAACTGCAACAATACAAGAGCACACGACAGATACAAACTCAATGTAAACCGCTCCAAACTTGATTGCAGAAAGTATGACTTCAGCAACAGAGTGATCAATGCCTGGAATGCACTACCTGATTCTTGTTATATCCTCTAACCACCACTCCTTTAATCTTAAAGTATCCACTATTGACCTCACCCCATTCCTAAGAGGTCTGTAAGGGGCGTGCATAAGTGCACAATTGTGCCTACCGTCCTGCCCTATTGTCTCCATTTGTTTATACCTATTTCCTGCATTCTTACTCATGTTTATACCTATGCCTATTATCTTGTAAGTGATTGACAAATCAAATAAATAAATATAAATACATTAATTAATTTAAAAAAATGGAACTATGGTTATAAGCTAACACATTTTGTTCCATTGTATTTCATTGATAATGACTGGCTAAATCTTTAAACAAAAAGACTTATACAAAGGGGCTGAAAAGGCGGGCCTAGCATGGCCACCCATCCAAAGCTACAACTTTGGATCGAATAAACATACTTTGATCTCCACCGATCATCTAGTTAGTTTTAAAAGAAAAAATATAGTTTTCAGTATATATAGTTTGCCCCAAACCTGGGGCAAAAAAGGTGTCATCTGACAATCATATGCTTAATTTAGTCAGAGAGAGAGAGACAATCCATTTTCTAGTTTTGCACAGTGCATTCGCTCTAACTAATAGACATGGTTTGCACAAATTCCCCTATATCACATAGCTACTTTCCTCCACACAATCATGTCCGATTTTAGGAGATTGTCTGAACAAAATCCCTGCAGTTTTTTTAGCCAGGTTTTTCAGAAGGGGGTTGTCATTGCCTCCTTCCTAGGGCTGAGAGAAAGAACCTGGCCCAAAGGTGCAAGGCAAGATTAGAACTCATGGTCTTCTGTGTTTTTTTTAGCCTGATGCCTTAGCCACTGCACCAAAATGGCTCTCTTTAAAGCTAGGCTTAATATTTGCACATATAAAGACAACGAATGATTTTCTAAACAGGATAAGCTTATTGCAGCAACCTGAGGTAGAGTGGACTCTACCTGTAGCCTAAAACAGAATCCCAAAATTAGTGGACGGTTTCACCTGTTCATGACTAGCACATCAGGGCTTATTGACATCTTTCAGTGAATTCACATGGATTGAACTGCTACATGACAAAGGTTCACTTAACTAAGTTTCAAAAAAATCTCATCCTTCTCGGTATCTACCTTTTAAATTTCTGAGCATAATTGGCCAAACTGTGATTCACAAGTAAATTCCACTTAAATTCTACACAAAGAGGTATGACATAGGTGTGACTTTAGTCCAACATTACTTGAAATTCAATCCTGGTTCTTCCTAAATTTTATATATCACTTCCTTCTTTTGCGGCTAAGCTGTTACAATATGTAAAACATTTTCCCATCTCTGTTTGTAACTTTTTTTTTTAACTTACACAAAATATTTAAGAAACCCAAATATTTCTTTTGGTATGGATTTGTATGGCTGCACCTTTAAAATGATACATAGTATAGAAAAACAACATTAATCCCAGGCTTGTCTTTAATTTTACAATTTTTATAAAGTAAGCTTTGTTACAGTATAAGTAGATTTCCTTCCAGGAAGAATTCTAGTCAACTCTCAAATTATTTTAAACATTGACAGAAAATAATCTTTAAAAAGATTGACAGAGGTATTATGCATGTCACTTACCTTGTGCTTAGAAGAGAATGCAAGATCTTGCTTCCTTGAAGTTAACAACAACTAGAGAAACAGTTATGTGATTGACCAACCTTTTAAACTTCTGATACTGTAATTAGCAGGAAGTTGGAATTGCTTTGTTTTGCAAGATAACTCATATCTCATTAGACCTTGAGATCCAATAGTATTCATATGGAAAGAAAAGCATATGAATAAAAGCAGGAAATAGACATTTCATGAAGAGATATAGCTAGAGAGAGAAAGAGAGGGAAGGGAAGGGAAGGGAAGGAAGGAATTTGTATGACCAGTTCGAGAAAGCTCCATTCAATTCATGGGACAGTTAAAAACCAGATGATTAACTTACAAACAAGTCTTACAAACTTGGTTTAGAGTCAGAAAATCATGTGACCTTTCCCTCCTTTGGGTTATGTTGAAGCTTTAATTTTTATTAGCTGTCCAGAATTGCATTTGTGAGATTGGTGACTATATTGGTGTATTTAAGCATATCAGTAAAGCTCTTCTCTTTGCTGAATTCAACTGCCCGCCATCTATCCTTCAGTCTGTGAAAAATAATACCTGGATTGTTGTGAATCAATAAAAGTGAATAATCTCAATGCAAATTAGGGGTTGAAAACCTGCACACTTGATTGGTCCTTATACAACAACTTGGGATTGGGCCAGAACCAGTCCCTGATTGGCCACTTTTGGGACTGTCCTTATTGGTCAGAGGTTTGAACTTGTTGCACATTTTCATTGGTTAATAAGGCAGCAGCTAACCCTATAAAAGGGTTACTGCTGCCCATAGCATTGCTCTGTCCCATTCTGATTCCTGTTATTATTAAAGAGTTGAAGTCACTGGTCAGATGTCTGGTCTCCTTATTCTCCAAACTTAACACTGGCGACGAGGATGGGATGCGGAGACCGAAGAGCTGACTAACCTACAGAGCAACTAACAGAGCACGTGGTTGAACACGGACCATCAACGGCAACATGGCCAGTGGTGTCGTACCACCCGCTCCATTCGACCCAGAGACCGAAGACTGGGAGTCGTATATGGATAGGTTCCAGATGTTTCTGGAGACCAACAATTTGAAAAATGCAACAGCTGGGAAAAAAAGAGCTATATTTCTAACCCATTGCGGCCCTACCGTATTTAAAATGGCAAAGTCACTTGCCAAGCCAGCAGAGGTAAAAGAGATGGACTGGGACATCCTCGAGCCTTTACTATGGGCTCACTACGCGCCCACAGTGCCAACCCTCGTCAGAAGACACGAATATTACTGGAGGGACCAACAGAAAGGTGAAAGCCTCGCTGATTATATCGCGGACCTCCGAAACCTTGGAGGCCTCTGCGGATTCGCCGACTTAGAAGAAGCTCTCCGGGACCGTTTGGTTCTGGGCCTAGAAGACGGCACGATCCAAAGTAAAATTATGGCTAAGGGGGACATCAGTCTCACCGATGCCCTTAAAGAAGCCTTGGCAGCAGAGGCGACCAAGAAGTCGGCAGCCCGAATGCGCCACACCAACGCACCGCTATGTTAACTCGCCACGGATACCTCGCCTCGCACAGAGAGACACCCGGTATCAACTCACCACGAAGACCTAGAGTCCCCGTCCGACAGCGATGGGGAAGAGCTCAACCGACTGCGAACGGAGCGAGATCAGTCCACGCAACACTCCTTTTGACCGTGTGCCGGTTGTGGATCCAATCACCCACGATCCGGCTGCAAATTCCTCGACGCGCTCTGCCGAAATTGCGGGAGACGAGGTCACATCGCAAAGGTTTGCAGAAGCAAACAAAACTCCAAACCCCGACAGGCCGAATGCCAGTCTTCAGGATTCTTCGGCACACACCAAGAAAAATTAAACCACTCCTACAGAAACAAACCGTCCACCACTTCCACCAGGCGTGAAGAAACCCGGCGGGAAGAGACCCACCAAACAATCACCATAGGCCACGCTACATCCCTTGATGCTGGGAAAATCCGAGTAAAGGTCGCCATCGAAAACAAACCGTGCGTGATGGAGGTAGACTCGGGATCTTCCCTCTCGATGGTGTCGTGGAAAACGCTCCAACAGCTCCTTCCAACGATTCGCCGCCAAGACCTTAACCCTCAAAGGGTTATACTCAAAGACTATCAGGGCAACCTAATTCCCGTCGTCGGGTCCCACAGATTCCAGGTCTCATTCAAGGACCGCACCGTCGCACTACCACTGACTGTCATGGATCGCGACAGGCCTAGTCTTCTAGGCCTCCAATGGTTCAGGCCGCTCGGAATCACTGTAGCCAGAGTCCACAAGGCCGAAAGCGTCGATTGGGAAGAAGCACTCGTGCAAGAATTCCAAGACGTTTTCGTGAACGGACTAGGCAAGTATAAGGGGACCCCAATCTCATTTAACTTGAACCCTGAAATAGCACCCATCCGCCTTAAGCCGCGTCGGGTGCCGTTCGCCTTAAAACCTAAAATCGATGAACAACTCGATAAGCTCATAGCGCAGGGCGTACTGGAACCCACCGACCACGCCCGTTGGGAAACCCCGATAGTGACGCCTATCAAGCCTGATGGGTCCCTAAGAATTTGTGGAGACTACCGGGCCACATTAAACCACGCACTGCAGCAAAGTGCTTATCCAGTACCGGTAGTGCAACATTTACTCCATTCCCTGGGCGGCGGGAAAGTTTTCGCCAAACTAGATCTAGCGCAGGCGTATCAACAATTGCCTGTAGACCCAACCACAGCCGAGGCGCAAACGATCGTAACACATAGGGGCGCATTTAAATGCAACCGGCTCCAATTCGGAGTAAGCGTCGCCCCTGGAATCTTCCAGAGCTTAATGGAAAGGTTGTTACAAGGGATAAAAGGCGTTGTCCCATATTTCGACGATGTACTCATCGCTGCACCTAACAAAGACATCCTAGAAAAACGACTCAGAGAGGTTTTACGAAGATTCCAAAATGCAGGCCTCAGAGTAAAAAAAGATAAATGCCACTTATGTACCGAAAAAGTAGAATTTTTGGGATACCTCCTGGACAGCCAAGGAATTCATCCCACCGAAGACAAATTACGAGCAATTAAAAAGGCACCCACTCCGAGAAACAAGGCAGACCTACAGGCGTTCCTTGGACTTATCAATTTCTATAATGTGTTTTTACCCCACAAAGCAACAGTAGCTGAACCATTGCATAGACTATTAGACAAAAAAGCAACGTGGGTTTGGGGACAACGGGAACAACATGCTTTCCAACAAGTAAAGAAATTGCTAACTTCTGATTCAGTACTTATGCAGTACAACGAGACTCTGCCACTCACTATCACGTGTGACGCATCACCTTTTGGAGTTGGGGCAATTCTGGCCCACGTGTTACCAAACGGAGCGGAGGCCCCCATCGCGTTTTTTTCGCGAACCTTAGCTAAAGCTGAACGAAATTATAGTCAGCTGGACAAAGAAGCTTTAGCTATTGTTGCTGCAGTTAAAAGATTTCACGAATATGTTTATGGCCGTGCGTTTACAATAATCACTGATCATAAACCGCTACTGGGGATCATTGCGGGTAATAAACCAACCCCGTATATATTGTCCCCCAGAATGACCCGTTGGTCTGAATTCCTGGCGGCCTACAACTACACCTTGCAACACCGCCCGGGGAAATCGATTCTCCACGCCGATGCATTGAGCAGAGCACCGCTCCCAGACGCTGTTGTGGATCCAGCCCCAACCCTCTCAACACTACAGATTGAAGCTCTACAGGCACCACCCTTGACGGCTAGAGACATTGCTTTTGAAACGAAACGTGACCCAGTTCTGCAACACATACTATGCTGGGTTGAAAGGGGGTGGCCGACGGACCAAATTGCACCTGAATGGGCGCCCTTCAAAGCCCGCCAAACTGAGCTGTTTTCCCAAAAAGGCTGTATCTTGTGGGGCGATCGAGTTGTAATCCCTGACAAATTGCAACAGACTGTGTTGGCGGTATTGCATGAGGGACATCCGGGCATTGTGCGGATGAAATCACTCGCACGCAGCTATGCTTGGTGGCCGGGAATCGACAAAAGAATCGAGGCCTGGGTCGCTACGTGCCAACGTTGCCAGGAGGTCAGCAACGCCCCACCTAAAGCAAGCCCAACCGAATGGGAAACGCCGAGGGGACCATGGTCCCGTATTCATATTGACTTTGCGGGGCCTACCAAAGGTCACACTTTCTTGATTACTGTCGACGCCTATTCTAACTGGCTCGAGATTCATCGAATGCACACAACTACAACTGACTCAGTTATTAATAAATTAAACAGACTATTTGCCACGCACGGGTTTCCGGACGTGTTGGTCTCGGACAACGGTCCACAGTTCACTGCATTGCCCTTTGAACAATATCTTGCGGATCGGGGCATCCGCCATGCGCTAACCTCGCCCGCGCACCCTGCGGCGAATGGACGTGCAGAACGCATGGTACAATTTGTGAAGAAGACCCTGCACAAAATGGAATTTGGCAACATCGACGAGAAAATCAATCGAATCCTCTTATTGCAGCACATCACGCCCCACAGCGTGACCAACAAAACACCCGCTGAACTTCTTATGGGGCGGAGAATACGATCGCACCTTGACCGGCTCCACCCTGCTTTCGCACCGGAAAAACCTTCCGGCTCCAGCAGCAAATGCCGGGAATTTAAGGTAGGCGATTTAATCTTTGCCAAAAACTTTTCCGGCGACCCGTTATGGATACCCGCAACCGTTACCCACCTCACCGGGCCTAGATCTTACCGCCTGCTAACAGACGATGGGAGGGTGTGGAAACGCCACATAGACCAGCTCCGATCGAGATTACCACCCAGCGGCCATGACTTCCCCGGTTCACCAACTCAAGGGGGAGGGAGTATCGAGGGAATTGACTTTGATACAACTAATAGCAGGTCAACAGGAGCCCTACAGCCCAGCGAAGCACCGGAACATGAAGCGGGGAGGGAGTTGACGTCTTCAGGGAACTTTTATACGGGGGAAAACGAACTGCAAAACCCCGAAGAAACACGCAGTAGTAGAGACAACCACAGTGAATGCAGCACGGAATCGCCGTGCAGCGAAATAGAATCTAACAAAGGTCATCCAAAC